TTTACTGGATGGAAAATAGTTCAGCATAATACGTGCAAAACTATTCATAAATGTTCCCTTCTACTACCTTTACATAATCTAAAAATATGTGTGTTGTTTTGGCACTTTAGCGCCTATCTGGTCACGCTCTAGCTGTAAAACTAACAATAAAAATAGAATGATGAAAAATACAGGACACAAAAAAAAAAAAGTAAAGCATACATTTATAGGCGACTACAAGGCTATTTCCATAGAATTTTAAAGCAGAAACATCTTGACACCTTTTGGAAAGGCGGCAACATCTCTGAAGTGAGAAAGCATTCAAGTGCTAAGGAACTGAGAGTCTTTGGATCCAACATATGGCCTCCATCCTGTGTTTGAATGTGAGCAGGAGGATTGAATCCACGTGGATTTTCAGTAACATCAACAAATTCCGTGCAGGCATGAAGGTTTGCCCACACACATGAAGCTGTGGAGATGGGACAAAGCAGGAAAGAATACTATAATGGATTGGATGCCAAAAGCTCTTAGTTACCAGATGTACCAGGCTGCATGTTACACCTTCCTATATGCCTAGTGATTACTTTCTCATATATATATGTGCTATGAATAATTCCATCCCCTAGGATATTACATTTCTTACTTAAAAGTGCCAGAAAAAGCTATTTCTGTGACACTATTTGACTAATTAACTCGGTTTCAACATTTTTGTCCAAACATAACAATGAACCATTCACTGTTAGTTACTAATGGACATTGGAGCCTTGACACTCTTCTCTTCTACAAGACTACTTTAGCTTGAATTATCTTGGGTTGTACAGTGCTAAGAGAAGAAGAGTTATCAGACCTTACAGACCATCATTCAACAGATAATTCAAGCCCTGGCATAATTTAGAGTTCCTATAGGACAACTCTGTGTTATGCCAGGTAATAAGAGCTGAGAGACTGCAGAAGCAGCAAGACAGAAAATGAAGTGCAAGTGTGCTCCAAATACACCCCTAGCCCTCACTGCCAGGAGATGCTACATCAGATGCTCAATATACGGTGGAATTCCTTGATAGACAGGATTTTTTTTATACCATCTTAGTTGTTCGCGTTACATGATTTATGACCCCTGTGTGCTGCCAAGCAGGCCAAAGAAGTTACATCATAAAAGGGATTTGCCCCTGTGTGACTTGAGGACGACAGCAAAGGATGAAAATACTTCCAAATAATAAGCAAGCTGCAGGGGTTGCATGAATTTCATCCATATTCGTTCCCACAAGCCACAACAGTAAGAGGTAATATATCAGTTCCTAGGAAGCCACAAAGATGTTGAACATGCAGGTTTTATAAATCATTTTGTTGATGGATTAACAGAAAATGTACATAGAAATCTTCTTAATCAATGCCCATGATAGTAGCATTTTCTTATTTAAATGAAGTATCCTGCAAGGGTTTGAAAACAGCATCCTGTTTGTTTTCTTGAAATTGATTGTCAATATCTAGAATCACAAAAAACAATTGCTCATGGTTTATACAAATAACTGTGCAAGCCAAGGTGGCAGCCATTATGGGATCAAAAACATCCCACCTGAGAACACTGATGCTAACTACTCTTTTATTACCCAGGAAGGAAATTTTAGACATCTTGCCAACAACGATTATCCTCTTTCTATATAAACAGTATAATCCCTGTGCCATAATTGTCTGTATCTTCAAAGGAACAACAACCAGAGAGATCTTATTTCAGCATTCTATCTACAGGGCATCTTCACTTCCACTACCCTGTGTTCCTTCTATGCTGTAGTACCATTAGAAGGAACAAATCCTCAGAAGTCATAATATGAATCATGACTATTTTTCCTCAGAGACTACAACTCAAAGGAATAAATATGCATCATGACTTAGAAGGAAAAAGAGGGCTTTCATTTCTTTCTAAAGGATAGAAATTGTTTTCTTGGCCCTTCAATCTGTTCTTATTTTCCATTTGCATCTGCATAAAGAAACTAGATTCCCCTTTCAAACAAGCTATTTCAAGTAGCAAAAGCCTTAATTCACTATGCCAAGAAAACAAAATACTCAGTTTACTAAGTTCACAGATAAATTATTTCCCAAACACCAGGGCCAGTAATTAAAAAAAAAAAAATTATTCCTAAGTCTCAGTAACATTTCTTCCAAACAAAGAAATCTATCATACACACAGGTACCTGACTGATAAAAAATGTTAGGTATAAAATATTTTGAAAATATATATGCCTCTTTCTAATAGATTAAATTACTTTCCGTATACTAAATCTCACAAACATTCGTGCATGTAAGACACAAAAAAGCCAACTGTATAACTTCATTATTTATTTTAAGAAACACAAGTGCTACATTCGGCATAATTTATATTTAAACTTCATGTAAATACATAGCAAAAGACAATGTAACATAATATTGAACCTATGTTTAATAAATAAGTTTACTAATAATGATAAACTAACTTAATAGTCTATTCAATTCAGTGACTGACATCATCCCTTTGAGCAGCAGCCCTTAATAGGCCCTAATCCAAATAACCACTGGAATTAGTAGGAGGGCCATCACAGGTTTAAACAGACACTGAATCAGGCATTTGCTGATGCTCAGGAAAGATCCATGCACAGAAGAGCAGTCTTGTATCTTCATTGCTGAAACAACTGACTTAATAAGAAAGAAAAAGAAGAAAAAAGTAATACTACCACATTCCTTAATTCACCTCCCTGTAATTTGCAGCAGTGTGTTCAACTGGTGGGTTTTTTTAAGTAACATGTATGAATGACCAGTGCTGAAGTGCTAAAAATACTGTTTCTGGAATCCAGTGTTGAGGCAAACCTTAACAGGCTTCATTACACCTCCTTTTACTTACACTGTTATCCAGACATCCCAGCTAGATAATACGCTACAAAACATAGTGTAAAAAGGATGACAGAGGAAAGATACAAAGCATTAGTGCCAGTCAGATATCTACAGATCTTAATCCCTTTTACCAAGATGACAAATCCTAAGGATTCCTGAAAAAATAAAAAATCCCCAGGAAGGGGGGGAAAAAAAAAAGTAAGCTAAATGCATGCACACATCCTCTGTGTAGTTAAAATTATTTAAAACCACAGCTTTAACCATGCAGCAAAAGCATCCCACCATTCATTTATTCACTTTATTCCCCAAAAAAGAAAAAAAAAAGATAAAAAGAAAACAGAGATAGAGAGATAGATATCAGTCTGTTCTCAGTGCTAGAGGGAGATGGAGAGCGATGAGAGCCCCTGCAGGACTGATCGAACTACCAGGTTCAGAAGCCTGGGTTCCCATGTCTGAAGATGAGGAAAGGAGGGGGGAAGATTAGGAAACACTGGCAGCTAATTGCGTGGCAGAAGGACCTGCACAGAATGGGACAGCTTCTTTCTGTCTCAGGATATTACCGTCAGAACAGCCAAGAAAGCGAGGAGCTTCATTTTTCCATTCTCACTGTGGTACTTTAACAAGTGCTTAATTTGAAGAGAACTGGACAGGTGGCATATCACGCTGAGCTAAATAGATAAGTGTGAGATTTAAATGACAAGAGGCAGCAGGTTTTGTTGTTCTGAAGAATGGGGGAGTGCATTATTCTGATGGTACCAATGGGCACAAGTGGAAGGTCATCCTGGGGTGCTGCCAGTGTCACCTGGGTGCCTGGTAGCAGATGGTGCCAGTCTGTAGGGATAAAAGAAGGGCTGCCATACCCCAGGGGCTGATAGCAACACTATTGGCTCAGGAATAAAAAAAAGTTTGGGGGCAGGTGCAGGCAATACAAATTAACATAGATGCTGCCACCCCGAATGTCAGCCTAAGTGCCACCAGTCCAAGGGCTGTGAGGGTGGATCAGTCAGAAGTGCTGCAGAAGCATGGTGAGGGCTGGCACTGCCAGGGTGAGATGCTGCAGGGGCTGCTGGCAGATTGGGAGCTGGCCCAGGCCAATCTCTGCATGGTCCCATGGGAGCTGTGGGGCTCCCTCTCCTGAAGCACCTCCAGGCTGGACACCCAGGAGTCCACCGGGACCCCCACCTGCCCCCTGCAGTGCCTTGCCTGTGTCACTCGCATTCCCATTTCCGGACTTACGCAATGACCTGCGGGCAGAAGCAGCCTGCAGAGAAGTGAACAGCAGGAGACGCAGGCAGCCTGGGTCCCCATGGGGCTCCCTGAAGTGTCCCAAACTAGAGAACTGGCCACCTCCCCACTCCTGCCTCCTGCAACATAATTATTCCAGCATGACTGACATGACAAATTAACAAGGCAGCCAAGGCTTTTGCAGTAGAAGGGAGTGTTTTCCCCAAGAATAAATTGTTCCAATCCTTTACGCTAGACACCCGGCCGTGCCTATTCATTAATTGGACAAGCTCTGGTGACAACTGAAATTACCCGGTTTCTACATACTGGAGGGGAGAGAGATCTTTGCAAGCTTAAAAATGAGAAGCCTAAAGCTGGAATCCCAGCCACCAAGGAGCTCTTTGAATGGGGCTTTTTTTTTTTTTTAAATTCATTTTCAGAGCACAGCCACAGTAAAGCTCCTTTTAAAAGCAGAGGCACGTTCTTCAGTGTCATTCCTTCTTTTGCAGACCCTGAACTGTGGCACCAGAACACGACAACTCCACCAACAAACCGCAAACCTTTTAAGATCCACAGATCAGCCGAGTTTAAGAACTTCAGGAGCTATGAAATTCTGGGATTACTGCAATGTTGCGATTAATTATCACAAATCAGGTACATTAGGAATTATAACCAGTACACTGTGGTTATATATTGCAAGCAATGCATCATAATTACGACACAAGTATTGGAATTAAGGGGAGGGGGATTGATGTTTGTCGATTTCTGTCATGATCAACTCGCAATACATCATTCATGTATTCTTCAACTACTATTTTGATTTGGGTTTAACTGTACCTCTTTCCCCTTCCTAAGGGGAAGCCTGGGAACCCTGTATGGTATTTCTAGCTCCCC